ACATGCGACGTCGTGTCTTCAGTTGTAGCGTTTTCTTGTCTCCTTTTTAGCCGTCTAGGAGCAGCTGATTACGGTGTAGGACGAGGCGGCGGAGGCGATCCGCCTTCGCCAGGTAGCCGAGGACAATGCCCGTGTCTCCTCCCAGATGGCGACCGACAGCAACAGGCGCTACTAGGACCTCCACGTGGCAGCAGGCAACGCCGTTCGCGTGCTTTCGCCTCCTGCGCCTACGGGGATGAGCCTGGCGGACCGCCTCCACACTGTGCCGCCATGTGTCATGGAGGTAGCCACATACTGCATTCGCCTAGGGACGCTTTGGCCAAGGCCTCCACCCAGCTTTGGCTGGGTGAGGACCTGACCATGGTGGAGCCAGGGTTCTCGGAAGAGATGAGCTATCGGCAGCGCGAGAACCTGATCGGCGAGTTCTCCACCATGGGTGATGGCGTCTTGGCCGCTGTGGATGTAGAGGACATCATTCGTAACGCTCCTCGCAAGTAGTTCGATTGTAACATGCCTCTGCATTTTGATTAAAAATGTTCATAATATTTAGTAGTTATTACTTTGAGTTCATCTCTGTTTGTTGTCACTTGAACGTTCTATTTGTGCGTCTTAGAGTTCGCAGACCGTATGACACATTCGTCATTAGTAGGTGCTAACATCTCCCAATAACCACCTCCGGTAGCCTTCACCGCCGCTTTCCTCAATTTACAAGCCCGCGCGTGAGTCCTACGCGTCACTCCAGCGCATATTTACAAAGTTCTGCAGAAATTTGCATTCCCGCGTCTGGTATAGTTGCTTACAAAGGACGCTCCCCACCATATCTTTCTCCTCCTTAGTGTTGCAGTTCCTCATCGCCGCTCCTAGTCCCCAGTGCTGAACTACATGAACCCTCTCCTACTCAGCGGCATGCAAGCTGCCAGTCACCGTCGACAAGCTAGTGCTCCGCACCGATACGCCTCACCGGCAGGGAGACAACACAAATCCACCGATGACCAGACTGGTACTCATCACCGCCATTGCCGCTCGAGCTCAATGCCGCAAGATCCAAAGGCAATGGTAATGCTTTCGCACTTCCCTTATGCATTGTTCTTGGATTTTTATTCCTTTCACTCATCTGAGTACGAATGAAGCTTCCATCTGATTATTAACGAGCTCACAAACACATCCCTACAATCGCTCCTTCTCTGATTCAAGCGACAGCGCCGCCGCTTCCATCGCCGTCCCTACTCCACCAGATCCTCGTTAAGATGGAGGACGAGGCCCCCAACAAGAGGAATGAAGTGACCATCCTCATAGACCATGTCTTGGTCCTCATCCTCAGTCGCCTCACCACCCGCTCCTTGTGCAGCCGCAAGTGTGTCTGTCGCTCCTGGAATAGCCTCATCTCGAGATCCGAGTACTATAAGGAGTTGCCCCATATTCTCATCGGATTCTTCTACCGTAGCTGGAAATACAAACACAACTTCACCAGCGTCAACAGTGAATACCCCTCCTTGTCCATCTTGCCCTTCCCTATTTAGGATGTCGTGATCTCAGATTGCTCCCGAGGCCTCATCCTCTTTTGGTATTCTGGGTTTCACTATGTTGTCTGCAATCCGGTGACTAAGAAATGGTTGCTACTGCCGGGTAGCAACCATTCTTGTGGTTCCGCTCGCTTGGGGTTCGATCCGACAGTATCCTTGCACTTTCATGTGTTTAAATATGGGATCAATGATGATGACTCCTTAGCTGTCAATATCTACTCATCTAAAACTGGAGCATGGATCTTTAAAGAATCTGAATGGAGCAAGGGTATTGTAGTATCTACATGGGAAAGGTGTGCTTGTTAATAATTTTATGCACATGCTGGAGTTCACCCAGATAGTTGCTGTTGATATAGAGGGAAAGACATGGAGGAAAATTCGTAGGCCAACTGGTGATGCAATCTCCATCCATGAAGCTCAGGGTCAGTTATGTTTATGTACTGCTGATACTTTAAATAGGTATGAGCACTCAATCTGGATCCTTGAAGACTATGGTACTAGTAAATGGACATTAAAGCATAAGGTGACCATGCTGGAGCTATTTGGAACGAAGAATATTGAAATTGGTACCGAGGTTTGTGATGCGGCCTACAGAGTGATTGCAGTTCATCTAGAATGGAATTTGATTTTCCTTGCTGGGGAGGACAAAACACTGCTTGCATATGACATGAACCGCAGTAACGTCTAGGTCCTCCCTACCCGGGACATCGGCTATCCTTGAAGTACCTGGAAACTATTATGTATGAGTGGTGGACCTAACTATCTTCCTTATATTCCCTTGTTCATGGAGTCATTAGCAGAGCAGTAAAGTTGCATATGTTGTATTTTGTTGTTACGCCATGCCTTTGTTCAGGTAGGTAGTCGTTTTGATTCTATATATAGGCCAATTAGGGCTTGGTCACTAAAGGAATTGTGTGTTAAATATCATTAATTCTGCTTCTTTGTGCAGCAGCAGGAGTCTGAGTGGTTTTGAACAATTTTCCTGCATTGGCTAAGGGAGGAAGAAGAGGGGTTCCATGATGCATTGCCTACCAATCCAAAGGAAGCTTTGCCTTGCAAGCAGGAGTGCCAATCTGAAGGAGCGGAGCACATCTACCTCATTTTGGTTACGTAAGTCTGTAGGGAGCAGAACCTTTATTCTGCTATCAATGTACTGCTTGTGTTAATTCATCAGTTGACACAATTGTTATGTTAGTGTTGATTGTTATTATAAAAAGTACTCTTCGTTGTGGACATGATGAATGGTGTGTAATGATTTTATCTATATGGTGTGTGTTGAGTAAGTTATTAAGGCCCAGCTGAATTAGTGAATAAATTGTGAAAACCGGATGCCATCACCGCCACTATTCGTCTGATGCGGCAGCTATCAACAGTGTATCACCGCCGAATCGTTTAATAAACCGACACCGACTAAAGGATCATCACGGGCGGATGGTACTGCAAAGCGACGGTGACCATGCCCTATGACCAGGCGGTTCATACACTGAAGCGACGGTGATGTTCCCCTGGACACAGGCAGGTCGTGCTCCAATGCGACAGAAACAAGGACCTGATCACGGACGAATCATAAGCCAATACGGCGGTGTTAGTGTATACCCAGTTACCCACACAGGTGGGTCGGGCCTCGATGCGACGGAATAAGGATCTAATCACGAACGGATCATAGGCCATACTGTGGTGTTAGTGCATACCGACACAGGCGAGTCGTGCTCCAATGCGACAGAAGTAAGGACCTTATCATGGACGGTTGGTAAGCCAATGCAGCGGTGTTGTGTACTTCCCAGTCGGTCTGAGATAGTGACGGTGATGGCTACGACTATCACTGCTGACAACTTACTGCCGAGGCCAAAATTGGACTGCGATGTGGGTTACGACGCGGCTATGAAGGGTGCGAGTGTAGTAGTGTTATCACAATACTACAAGTCGATGGTCTAGCACAATTCTTTGGATCAGAAGAGTCAGAGTCGAGGACAACTCCTTTTCAAGAGGGGGAGGATGATGAGGACATCCTAGCTCATCGTGTGTTGGAACATGAGGGGCATTCACCGTCTAACACAAATGAATGTAATCATGGTCCACTTACACGGAGCCGCGCCAAAAAAGATACCAGATCAGGTGAAGGCATTCCTAACTGGTTTTGATTTCACCATATCTAAGAATGGTATACTACCTAATTGTTCTAAATTGATGTTTCCTAGGTTCACACATGAAGTGGAGCAAGCCACAAACACGGAGAACAAGTGCAATGATCGGACGACGAGGTGCAGACCAACTAGTGCTCATGTTCGGGTCAGCACAAAGAAATAGTCATAACTCTTGGTTCCCAAAGTCTCTAGGAGTCAACGAGGACTTGATGGAAAGCTCATCAGGCCTATTTTCCAATGCAGCAAACACAGCATCATTTGGACTTCACAATAAAGAGTTATGACCATATCAGTAGAAACTGTCCAGAAGACTAACAGTCACCCAGGAATTGGTATGATGGAGAAGTTTCGTGCAAACCTGTATCATTATGCACCATTTCACGGTGCATACTATACATGGATGGGAAGATAATCATGTTAACTTGTCATGCAACAAACGGCTTGTCATTTGGACTTCCGAGTAGGGAGTAATGACCAATTTACTAAAGACTGCCAGAAGCTGAAACTGTTGCGCGAGGCTCCAAGGATTCCCATCTCGTGAAGGCCTTTCACCTATTGTAACTTCAGAAACTTTAAGTCCATTTCATACCCAACTAGGAGGGTTGTTCCTAGTATAAGTATCACATACCTCTAAGCTATTAGGAACTTTTTGATCATTTGAGAACCTGATATGGTATTGCAGCCGAGCTGCGCTGAGTGTCTTACACACCTTTGTTCTTGCGAGTTCTTCTTGGGCTTGTGAGAGATCTCTCTGAGGTCCCCTACTTCGTGCTCTACGGCATCCAGTTAGGATGCGCCGTATTGTTTGGATTAGTCCCGATTTGTGGTTGTGTGATCGTTCGGAGATCGGGTCGAAGTCCTCAAGGTTTCGGTGTCTCTCTCCCTGTCGTTTTTGTCGCATCCAACCTTGGTCAGGTATAAAGTTAGTTACCCGCCGTTTTCTACAGCAAGTTATCCTTTGTTGTTCAACCTACTGTCGTGAAGATCGTGTCATTCCCTTGCCGATTCATATCGGTACCTATCAGAGATTTTGGCATATCTAGAATCATTTCAGTAAAAGTAAAATTCTGCAAAATTTCAATAGCACAAGTGGCATAAGAGGCTCCATTGGCTATGTTGCTCCTGGTAAATGTTATGTTTTGTATTTTTTTTATATTCCAAATCCTTCTATAAATATGGCATGCTGATCAATACTTCCTTTTTCTTTTGCATAATAATAGAGTATGGTGAAGGTTCTTCCATCACAACTTTTGGTGATGTTTATAGCATCGGCATATTGCTGCTCGAGATTTTTACAGGAAGGAGCCCAATAGATGATATGTTTAGAGGTTCAATGGATCTACATAAGTTTTCAGAGGATGCTCTTCCAGATAAAATTTGGGAGATAGCTGATACGACAATGTGGCTGCACACTGGCACCCATGACAGCAATACAAGAAACATAATTGAGCAATGTTTGGTTCATGTCATCGCTCTTGGGGTAACCTGCTCAAGAAAACAACCTAGAGAGAGGACACTAATACAAGATGCTGTCAATGAGATGCATGCTATCAGAGATTCATACCTCAAGTTTGCCAGACCTCTTGTGGTGGAACATGGAGCAGGAACGATTTTGCAGTAATTTTCAAACAACACTGAATAAGTAGAGATAAAAGTGGCAATATGTGATCATTGCTCTAGCACATGTCTAACCGCATATATGTTGCCGTTGTCAACTGAAACAACTGATCATTGTTCTAGCACATGCGGTCATTGCATGCCAATTGGTGTAACAACTGAAGCACATGTAATGATTGAAGTCTGTTTTGGATCTGTATGTTTATCATATATAATAGTGTAAAAGGAAAAGTAGGATGCCATGCAAATTTACCTTCTTAAGATAAGAAATGCTTGCGAAGGCACCAACTGCAGTTATTTGCAAGAGCAATGATCACAGCTGAAGGTGGATTACAATATGCTGTAGATGTATGTAGTCACCAGCAATAACTGAAATCTACCCTCTTATAAGATATGAAATGTTTGAATCTCCACAGTAGTGGGCATGTCATTTGTAGCATACTTTATGCTCCACATCCTCATATTGATTATGGATCAAATAATAAAATAAAAAACAAATGGCTTGAAAGATTAGGCATATGCATTTCAAATGACTACAGGTTCAGAATACAATACAGTTAAAATTATACTGTAAGAAAGCAGCCTCTAGCTCAAACTGACTATGTCTTTGCGGCAACCAGGCTGCACAAGAAGAGAGAAATACATGATGCGGAAAGTGAGAAACCCAATTGGCTTTGGGATTCCTAGCCGAGCGTCCAATTTCATTCACAGTTTCACTTATGCTGCTTAAATGAGCCAGAACAAACAAAAGCACCCAACTACCATTGCAAGTACGGGAGGCCAGAGGATGGCAACCTAAGAGAAGAAGGAGAACCTGGTGACGACCTCGATGCCCGCGGAGACCCTGGCGAGCTCGCAAGTCGCATTGTCGCAAGAGGCTGACAGAGGTCTGGATGTGCCGCCTATCGACCGAGCCTGGCGGCCTCCGCGGCTACCTTCTCGAAGATGCCATTGGTGAAGGAGATCGTGATGGAGATGGCGTTGGAGCAGATGTAGTGTCTCATCTCACCTTCTTCTTCCGCGCCGCCGCCCTTGTTCGGTTCTCGCCCTCGCACACGGCGGGGCGCCGCTTCTACGACGACCGTCGCGGCGGCCTCCTCCATGGGCTTCCTTGTCAACAAGTGCGTAATTCGGCCTGCAAAAATCATTTTTGGCCTATTCGACTCCTATGAGGACAAGTGCGCCGCAGCAGTGGGCTGAAACGGATGGACCTCTGGAGAGACTTGGTGATGCAAAAATCTGAGATTTGTTTGGTTTTAGCTGAAACAGAGAAGAACTACTAGTTCTTCAGATTAGAGGTGCAGATGCAGTAGTGAATATCAGTGCAAAACTCCTGGGAAAAGGATGCAAAACTCCTAGTTGCAACACATTGTGCGGATGGCCGGGACATCTTTCCAGATGAATCTCTCTACAATTAGACAGGTCAGCTAACCAGCAAAGTTCTTTTATAATATGATGTTCTCAATATTTGGACTTTGGCAGTATCTGGTCATTGTGCAACCTCTTTATTCCTTTTTGGAGTTTGCATGCTGTTCTGTGATACAAATCATATATAGTTATCTTTGAATTTTCCCTTTTCTAACTCAAGTTTTTTTTGTGGCCCATAGAATAAACCTATATTATAGGCATATAACCACAGGTTATGAGAATCGCTGTAACATCCATTTCTTTTTAGCTCCCTGATATAATGGTCATGTTCGCTTGTCAGCCAATAGTACTTTCAGCCATAGCTTATCAGCCAAACAAACGGGGCCAATGTAACTTTGGTTAATACGTTTATGTTTCTTTTAAAAAAATGTTAGGATTGCTCTTTTTATTTATCTACTCTATGTTTAACAACAACTAACCTACCTATCCTTACATGCTACTCTTCTTACAGCATCAGAGCAGAGCTGATGTAGGATATGATGGTTGTACTCAAAAGCCAAAACCTTCAATCAATCAGAGGCTCTGCAGAACCAAGCTCTTGTTCTGACAGGACAAGGCAAAAATTCTGTTGTTGAATCTTTCCATTTGTATAAGAATGAAGAGGTACTGTGCATGTTATGGCCTTATTTTAAGCCAGCAAATAATTTTGTTTTAGCCTCACAGAATCTGTGATACGGAAATGTTAAAATATAATGTACAATTAGCAGCTCCACCAATTTGTTGAAATGTACATGTCTCCCTTTTGTTATTATAGTTCCCAGAATGGCTATGTACAGAACCAGAACGTATACTGCAAATGTAGCTCACATGCACGACCTCGACGAGTGCATATCCTGTTCACACCAGATGCCAAGAGACGAGAAGCTCGGCTACGCACAGCATGTTGTTCGGCCAGTCTTGCTGTGACTGTGTGACGACCACCGGCGGCACTGCCGGAGTCCGGAGAGGACAGGGACAGTGCGCTGCAGTGTCAACTCCGGCAGCTCCTGATCACTGGAACGGTGCCGGATTCCGCCCAACCCACCAACGACAACGGCAGGCAGTACAGCGCGGAGATTAGAAGAAGCACAGAATCGGTCATCAATGATGACGGCGGTGGTGCGACGACGGCCGGGCACCGGTAGCACGTACGAACTAGTACGGCGGCGTTCCATCGATTTGGCGAAACGCCGCCGCAGACAGCTCCGCCGATGCCGACAACTCCGCCGGCGCCGACAGCTCCGCCGAAGCCAACACCACCACCGCCGCAACCGCTGCCGCTGCGGACAGCTTCGCCGCCGCCGGCACCGCCGCAGCCGCCGTGACACCTCAAGAATACGAAATGGAATTGAACCAGCGGGAGACCTAAGTGGGCCAGAATAACAGAAGGAACAGGCCCATTGTTATTTAGGCAAGCCTGTACAAAAAAACACGAATCTTAATGAAGATCTGAACCATACAAAAGTGGAAGAAAACAACACAAGAAATCTGCTAGAAGATATTTAGAAATTCCGAGAAAAAAGTACACGAGAAGGTGAAGCCCGTCTGAGACCGGGAGAAGAAGTTCCCCAACCCCCAGCATCAAGCCCGGTCCGCTGCCGGAGCTCCCCGTTCTGGTGGCGCTGGACTACGTCGTCCTCGGCTTTAACACGGGCTACATCTTTTCTTTTTTCTTTTTTTTTTGCGAGCAAACACGGGCTACATCGACGGCCTCGAGAAGCAGTAAAGGCCCACAGCGGCAAGTTCTGCTCCGGCTTCGACGTGCTCACGGCCGAGCTGTGGCACTGCCGCACCCGGGCGCTCAACCTGCAGCCCAGCACGGCAGCACCGAGGTAAACGCTGTAAATCATTTACTAAAACATGTCATAAGCATCATATTTATGTGTTAATGCATGTAATAAAGTATGTAGATCAATTTTCGTAACTCAAAACGATCGACAGAAATGCGAAACGAAAGTTGATTCGATAGTTATGTTATATTGCTTAGGGTTTAAAACAAATTTTTATTAAACATAAATGCTATAGAACATGTATGTGATACTTAAATAAAGTTTGAAGTACAAACTTTGTAGATGACAATGAAATACTTGCGGTCGAAAAATGATATTACTGGCTAATATTTCCACTAGCTTAGAAATCGCAATTGAAAACCAAATTCAGCTCAAAAACTTAGAATTTTTCAAGTCTGCCAACTGTTAGACACTGCTATGTTTGGTAATTTATTGTGAGAGATTGGGTTAAGGAGTAGGGCAGTATTATGCCTTGTGTTAGTAGCCTAATGTACCCTCTAAGGTATAGCAAAAGTGGTTTAGGGATTGGATCAACGGCTTAGACGTCTTGAACGCTTTAAAATTCATGTGTGTCACTGTCTCGAGCGGTCTATCGCCGTGGGCGCGGTCACCGTGTGGCCACTCCACGCGCGCACTTGGGCGCGCGTGCGCGCGCTGCCGCGGGCGGCCGGATGTGGCCGCCTCTGGCTTGGCCAGGTCTCGGTGGCCGCGCGGAGCCGCTGCTGTTGCCGATTGCCCCGCACGCGTCGCGACGGAGCCGCTATCGGCGCCATCAACTCGCCGTCGCATCCGCACTACCACCCGTCTAGCGTCGCAACGCTGCCGCTACCAACACCACTGCGACGTTGTATTGCTGCCGCTTGCCTTATCCTAGTTCGCACGTGGGCTGCCCCGCGCCGTCGCCCCGCCTTAATGGCGCTGTGGCCGCGCCTGTCATGCCCCACCTGCCTCCGCACGCGTGCACGTGGTTTGGCCGCAGTGTTGCATAGCGGGCGCGCAGACGCCGCCTTAAGTCCGGTCGACCGCGTCCCGCCAAGGCGTGGACGAGCCGAACCCACTGTCGTGCTCGTGTCTCCGCCTTCAAGCCCCCTCTCTAGCCGACCCCACCCCGCCTTGACTCGTGTCACGTCAAGCTCTAATTTTGGAATCTTGCCGCCGCCGTGCCGTTAAGGCCCATCACCGCCCACGTCGTGGCCAGTCTCCACCACTTCACCTCTCATCAATCCCTCTGCAACGCTAGCTCGCCTTGGCTTCCTCATCGTCGTGCGCACGCTAGTCGCCACTCTAGTGCCGCCTCCTTGCCGCTGACGCGGCCGTGCCTTTGCGGTCCGTCGTTCACCTTGCAGCGCGCATGTGGCTAGCCTCGCTCGGGTCGTCTCCGGCCGAACCAGCTTCTTGGTAAGGTCACTGGTGAGTTGTCGTTGCTCACCCGCTACCCTACCGCCTTGATTGTTGCTGCGGCTCACCTGAACGCCATCGCTAATGCCGCAGGGTGTCCGCCGTCTTGGAGAGGTACTTCTACAGTGTCCTGGCTTGTGCAACCGCCGCCCATCATCTCGCGTCGAACCCTAGGTGAGCGTCGGCCTCGTAGATAGGTCAGTGGGGGTCCCATGTGGTCGGCGTAAGCGCCAGTGCCACTGCTCGTCGTGCCGGAGCGCGCGGGGAAGGCCAGGGGTCTCGTCGTTATAGAGAGGAGAAAGGTCCGAAGATTCTTTTGCATAAGTGTTGTCTCTAGGAATAGTAACGTGGACTGCGGGTTGTTTTGTTCGTAGTCCAGGGGTGTTTTTGTTAATGTGCCAGCGCGCGC